CCATTTTCCTTCAAATCTGGGAATCTGATTTATAAATCAACAAGAGTTTTCCTTAACAAGTTGAGTGATTATATATTTTTTTTTATTCCTCTGCTGAAATCAGATTTATTATTTCATTAATATATTCCACTGACATGAGAGGTCGAGTTTAATTAATATGTATTATACTGCGTCAACTTTAGCAAGGTTAGGTTAGGTTATTATTATTATTATTATTATTATTATTATTATTATTATTATTATTATTATTATTATTATTATTATTATTATTATTATTATTATTATTGCATTCATTTGGGAAATCTAAACCCTTCGACAAGTGTGACCATGGTGTAATAACGCACAAAATGCGTACTAAAGGAATCACAGGAAAAGTTGGTAGATGGATCTATAATTTCCTCACAAACAGAACACAAAGTGTAGTAGTAAAGTCTGAGGCGGCTACGGTGAAAAGCTCTGTTCCACAAGGCACAGTTCTCGCTCCCATCTTGTTTCTCATCCTCATATCTGACATAGACAAGGATGTCAGCCACAGCACCGTGTCTTCCTTTGCAGATGACACTCGAATCTGCATGACAGTGTCTGCCATTGCAGACACTGCAAGGCTCCAGGCGGACATCAACCAAATCTTTCAGTGGGCTGCAGAAAACAATGTGAAGTTCAACGATGAGAAATTTCAATTACTCCGATATGGTAAACATGAGGAAATTAAATCTTCATCAGAGTACAAAACAAATTCCTTCCACAAAATAGAGCGAAAAGCCAACGTCAAAGACCTGGGAGTGATCATGTCGGAGGATCTCACCTTCAATCGCATCTGCTAGAAAAATGAAGGATGGATAATGAGAACCTTCAAAACTAGGGATGCCAAGCCCATGATGACACTCTTCAGGTCGCTTGTTCTATCTAGGCTGGAATATTGCTGCACACTAACAGCACCTTTCAAGGCAGGTGAAATTGATGACCTAGAAAATGTACAGAGAACCTTCACGGCGCGCATAACGGAGATAAAACACCTCAATTACTGGGAGCGCTTGAATTTCCTGAACCTGTACCCCCTGGAACGCAGGCGGGAGAGATACATGATTATATACACCTGGAAAATCCTAGAGGGACTAGTACCGAACTTGCACACGAAAATCACTTACAACGAAAGCAAAAGACTAGGTCAGACGATGCAACATCCCTCCAATGAGAAGCAGGGGTGTCACTAGCACGTTAAGAGACAATACAATAAGTGTCAGGGGCCCGAGACTGTTCAACTGCCTCCCAGCATACATAAGGGAGATTACCAATAGACCCCTGGCTGTCTTCAAGCAGGCACTGGACAAACACATAAAGTCGGTACCTGACCAGCCGGGCTGTGGCTCGTACGTTGGATTGCGTGCAGCCAGCAGTAACAGTCTGGTTGATCAGGCTCTGATCCACCAGGAGGCCTGGTCACAGACCGGACCGCGAGGGCGTTGACCCCCGGAACTCTCTCCAGGTAAACTCCAGATAGGGGTTATATAGCGCACTGGGGGAGGAATAGGTGGCATTCAGGTTCGATCTATGGAAGAGAGCAGGTCCTTTTCCTTGGATCGAGATCCCTTCACAGGCATCAAGGAACCTTCCACAAGGGGATGGTTGTTGTTATTGTGTAATATTAATATACTTTGCATTATTCAAGGAATATATCTGTGAATCCATAAGACACAAAATCTGAAAACAAATATATATTTTTAAGAAAATTAATTTTGTTTGACCGCTGTGGCTATTATACTTATATTTATGGGAAACACTAAACCCTTAGGGGTCATACAACGCACAGGCCTAGCTATAAATTATGTCCCAGTGGGAGTTCCTTGTCATCCTTGATAATATTAATTTAGTCCTTCCAGCAGATGTTACGCTCTTCCAAAATATTATTTCCTTGTAAGTTTCATGGAAGTCTGACTGCAGCAGAATAATAAACGATAAACAACAAAGAAATTTATTTACCGAGATGGGTATGTTTGGTCAGCGGGCCACCAGCAGCAACAGCCTGGTTGACCACGACCTTCCACGACCTTCAACCAACACTGTTGGCAGCACGACCTTCAGCCAACACTGTCGGCACCAAGACCTTCAACCAACACTGTTGGCAGGATGACCTTGAACCAACACTGTTGGCAGCATGACCTTGAACCAACACTGTTGGCACCAAGACCTTCAACCAACACTGTTGGCAGGATGACCTGAACCACACTGTTGGCAGCATGACCTTAAACAACACTATTGGGCACCAAGACCTTCAACCAACATGTTGGCAGCACGACCTTCACCAACACTGTTGGCAACACAGCCTTCAACCAACATGTTGGCAACCACGACCTTCAACCAACACTGTTGGCAGCATGACCTTCAACCAACACTGTTGGCAGCACGACCTTCAACCACACTGTTGGCAGCATGACCTTCAACCAACACACTGTTGCAACACGACCTTCAACCAACACTGTTGGCAGCATGACCTTCAACCAACACTGTTGGCAACACGACCTTCAACCAACACTGTTGGCAGCATGACCTTCAACCAACACTGTTGGCAGCACGACCTTCAACCAACACTGTTGGCAGCACGACCTTCAACCAACACTGTTGGCAGCATGACCTTCAACCAACACTGTCGGCACCAAGACCTTCAACCAACACTGTTGGCAGCATAACCTTCAACCAACACTGTTGGAATTGCGTGCTCAGAGCAACACCATTGACAACTTCAACATATAACATATTCAAGATGATTCTGACGAGAGTATTATTTTCAAGGCGAGAACCTCTTTCAAGGATATTATACCTTATATCACTCTAGGTCACCACGTCCAGATTATCGACACTCCCAAATTTACGAGAACTGTCTGTCAGTTCCTTAAATCCAAGTTAATCGTAGTGAGACATTTCGGATGGCAGAGGATGTTCAGAATGACGATGGAATAAGGAAGGAACTGTCATCCGTGGGGAAACGACGACAAGCTTCATTTAAGAAAACACATGATGGAGCAGACTAAGTTATTATTAAGAGAACGTTTTACTCAGTGTAGAATTTTATCAAGTTATCTGAGTAAAGCTCTACCCAGAGCGAAATGTTGTCCCAAAACAAAAAGACTGTTATGCAACTTGTGTTTTTTCTTCACTAATGTCTGTAGTATCATATATGAATTCAAACTTCTTGCTTTTATTAGGTTAAAAGATTTCGTCTTTAAAGCCAATTATTTTTAAGGCCGCAATCACCTGTACATTAACATCAAGAATACTTTAGTCCCTATAGATGACATTAATCTCTCGGTGGTATATAAACTGAGAGAAACGTACCTTGTGTTTGGGGATAGGTGTGTGTGTGTGTGTGTGTGTGTGTGTGTGTGTGTGTGATTGCAGGGGTCAATTCACAGCTCCGGGCCCAGCCTCTTCCCTGGTCGCTACTAGGTCCACTCTCTCCCTGCTCCATGAGCTTTATCGTATCTCTTCTTAAAGCTATGTATGGATCTTGACTCCACTACATTACTCTCCAGATTGTTCCACTTCCTGACAACTCTATGACTGAAGAAATACTTCTTAACATTTCTTTGATTCATCTGAGTCTTCAACTTTCAGTTATGACCCCCTTGTTGCTGTGTCCCATCTCTGAAACCTCCTGTCCCTGTCCACCTTGTAAATTCCTCTCAGTACTTTATATGTTGTTATCCTGTCGCGCCCCCCATTTCTCATGTCCTCCAATGTTGTCAGGTCGATTTCCCTTAACCTCTCCTCGTAGGCCATACCCCTTAGCTCTGGGACGAGTCTTGTTGCAAACCTTTGCACTTTCTCTAATTTTTTTCACGTGCTTCACTAGGTGTGGGTTCCAAACTGGTGCTGCATGCTCCAACATGGGCATGACGTACACGGTGTACAGAGTCTTGAACGATTCCTCACTGAGGTGTTGGAACGGTATTCTTAGGTTTGTCAGACGCCCATATGGTGCACCAGTTATTTGGTTGATGTGTCTCAAAAAATATGCTCGGTATAATACTCACCCCAAGATCCTTTTCCTTGAGTGAGATTTGCAGTCTTTGCCCCCCTAACCTGTATTCTGTCTGCGGTCTTGTTTGCCCTTCCCCACTCTTAATGATTTTGCACTTGCTGAAGCTAAACTCCAGGAGCCAGTTTCTGGATCAGGCTTGCAGCCTGTTCAGATCCCTATGTATTCATGCCTGATCTTCATCCGATTGAATTCTCCTTATTAGCTTCACATCGTCTGCAATCACTTCTGAGTCTATCCCTTCCGTCATGTCATTCACATACACGAGAAACAGCACCTGCCCTACGACTGACCCCGTGTGACCTCACTCTTCACAAGCGCCCACTCTGATACCTCGTCACGTACCATGACTCATTCTCGCCTTCCTATCAGATATTCTCTGATCCACTGCAGTGCTTTTCCCGTTATACCTTCCTGATCCTCTAGCTTTTGTACTAATCTCTTGTAGGAAACTGTGTCGAAAGTCTTCTTATAGTCTAAGAAAAAGCAATCTACTCACCCCTCTCTCTCTTGTTTTACTTCCGCCACTTTGTTGTAAAACTCTAGTAGGTTTGTGACACAGGATTTTCCTTCCCTGAAACCGTGCAGGTTGTTGTGTATAAGCTCATTCCTTCCTTGGTGCTCCACCTTTCTTCTGATAATCTTCATGACTTTGCATACTGTGCATGTCAGTGACACTGGTCTGTAATTTAATGCTGCATGTCTGTCTCCTTTCTTAAAAATTGGGACTATATTTGCTGTTTTTCACACTACAGGTAGTCGCCCTGTTTCGATAGATGTGTCATTACGATTTCGTGACTCAAGATGTGTTGAAGACTGTGAACTCCCCTCCTTCCTTCCTCAGCCTGATTACCTGGTCTATGACTGTTGTTTTCCTCCTGATGTTGATGTACAACAACTTCGGGTGTATGTGTGTGTGTGTGTGTGTGTGTGTTAGTTATGTTATCAAGTGCCTTTCACCCAGGTCGGGGAGCGGACAGACGGAAGCAAGGAAGATTTGAAGCTGATTTTACCACGAAACTCTCGAAGCAGTTGGACCTTGTGGCTAAGGGACAACAGCAGCAGCAACAACAGCAGCAGCAAACTCAACGGGAACAACAGAGACAACAGCAAGACAAGAAACCAAGTGTGAGAGGACCCAAACCCAAGCTCAAAGCTCAGGTATGCAGTCGTAAGTGACATCATTTACGAATGATCTTAAGTGGCATTAATGACAATCTGTTTCAATTGACATCATGTGATATCAATGATAGTGTATCTTAAAATCGATCAGCCTGTGCTTTTTATGCCTAAATCTTTTTAAATAACTTTTTCTTTGTAATAAAGTAATAAATACAGTAAATTGCCGATGAGCTGACATATAAAATTCCCGTGTTCGTGTTACGGAAATCCTAAAATACCTGTAGCTCATTTTGCATTTTTAACTTCCATGCCATCTGTTTAAGTACTTTAAATATTGTCATCTCGTTGCTCATTCCCGTTATCCCCGGTACTAATCTCGTTGAAAATCTCTGCACTCCCTTTGGTTTCTATACCTCCTTTATCACGTGTGGGCTCTATACTGCATCTCTGTCTATTTTTCCATCGTGTCGATATTTTATACCATTTATCTCCATATATACGAGGGGAGAAATACACCTCTCCGTGTATATATACTGTGCTAAGCTTGAGAACCCCAGTGGAAATACGTCAGACTAATTTTTTTGATTATCACAGATTAATCTAAAAATTTTCCCACCAATATATGCCTAAAATCATTGTTTGTTTATTGTAATTATTGTACAACTAAATGATAATCTTTAAAATCATAAGTAAAAGTAATGGAAATGGTGCTTATTATAGCTTAGCGTATGTTTACATAAGATTTTTTGCACCACAAACTATTAAGACACCGCTTATATCTTAGTAACAGAAAATGGTAAATAATAAAGAAAATTGTTTTATTATATTTGCCACAGACTAAACTGCTCGAATTGTTTTTCAAAATAACTTTGTTGTTCACTTAGAATAATACATTGTCTTACATAGAGTGACATTTCCATTGGGGTCTTTGTAATACGTATTTACTGTATTAGACTGATTTTTAGATATAGTAAAAATAAGTCATGATTATGTCTAAAAACAAAATAGAATACATCGAATGCATAAATATTAGCTAGAATAAAAAATAAATAAAATAAAAATAGCTAAATTAAATACGCGAAAATGAATAACATGAATATTAATAAAAATGAATAAAAATGAAATCAATTAGATATAACAGTTACGCTTCTTTCATTAAACATTTTTAGTTCTCTTTCTAAACTGGTTTTTTTACAAAGACTGGCCTTGTCATGACCAGACAGCTACTGTTTATACTACAATATTGCGTTCACTTTCCCTAGTACCATACTGGCTTTAATTCCTAACCTAGAAGATATTCTGGACACTGGTAATAAGTAAATTTGTATATATGAGTGAACTTCGGCTTCCCTTACCCTATATGCCACATTAATTAAGCAATCCCAGTAGTTATAGTACATCCTGGCTTACACGTTTTCTTGGGCCCAGGTCCAGGATGAATCTCATCATTTTATTTTGGATAATTTGTAGCCCGTTTCTCAGTTTTTTGTTTGAGGAGAGTAGCACTGTATGGTCCAGTGGGTTAAAGCGTCGTTAATTTTCGCTCACCATGAGGCGGGCTAAAACAAGACAGGTTCGATCCCCCATCTAGTCGCAGTGTTGTTATTGACTGAATACCAATTGTTTATGGTTACAATACTATGTATACTGCTTGTGGAGGCTAGTACACCAAACAGGGATTAGAATGAAATTAGCTCTGAGGCACCCACACCATAGTATGTCCTCGGATCACGGTACAACACCTAGCTCTGCTGGGTGCGGATTCTTGTAGGGATGTATGTTCAGTGGGTTAGAAAAGTCGTGAATTTTGCTCATCTGGGGCGGCATTAAAACAACAAGGTTCGATCCCAGCTGTCTCAGTGGGTTGATATAATATTGTAATATTTATTATATATAATATATATAAATATAAGTATATAACAACACCACTGAGACTAGCTGGGGATGAACTGTATATATATATATATATATATATATATATATATATATATATATATATATATATATATATATATATATATATATATATATATATATCATTCATTCAACAATTTCACCATCACTCATACATAATCACTGTCTTTGCAGAGGCGCTAAGATACGACAGTTTAGACGTCCCTCCAAACTGCCAATATCCTAAACCCATTTTTTAAAGTGCAGATATTATACTTCCCATTTCCAGGACTCAAGCCTGGCTAAACAGTTTCCCTGAATCCCTTCACAAAATATTACCCTTCTCACACTCCAACAGCTTGTCAGGTCGCAAAAACCATTTGTCTCCATTCACTCCTATCTAACATGCTCACGCACGCTTGTTGGAAGTTCAAGCCCCTCGCCCACAAAACCTCCTTCACCCCATCCCTCCAACCTTTTCCGGGACGACCCCTACCCCGCCTTTTCTCTCCAACAGGTTTATACGCTTTCAAGGTCATTCTACTTTGTTTCATTCTCTCTAAATGACCAAACCACCTCAACAGCCCCTCTTCAGCCCTCTAACTAATGCTTTTAGTAACTCCACACCTCCTAATTTCCACACTACGAATTCTCTTCATAATATTTACACCACACATTGGCCTTAGACACGACATCTCCACTGTGCGGGTACCACTATACTCTCGTATATTCCCTCCACAGATACCTCAACGCACCACTCACTTTTTTTCTTTCATCAATTCATGGGACTTGCAATGTGAACAGACTGATGTTGTAGTGGCCAGGCTTAGGCTTGGTTACAAGTACTTCTGGCAGTTTGGGAGACACACAGATGATGATCAAACTAAATGTAAGTTATGTGATTAGGCATATGGTCACTGTCTTGAACACTATGTGCTTATTGAGGAATACAGAGATAGACAGTATAATAAGTTATGTGACATGTCAAGGTATCTTATTAATGAAAATAAGATACCAGATATACTAAGCAAATTTCCTAAATTTGCTTAGTATATCTTAGTATATCCTAAATTTGATTGTAACAGATAAGTGAACTATAGACATGTAGATATAAATCCATATCTACTCTTGTTAACCCTTTGGGGCCTAGTTCCTAGGCCTTTTGTGTATCCATATGCTCTTGCGCTACCGTCCACAGGATGGATATGGGGTGCACAATAAACTAGCCACTTCGGTGGCAAAATCTAATCTATGGTTAACCTCATCCTTCATAAACCGTCCGCTGACAAGTCAACTCCCTCCCTCCAATGTGATATCCAATTTTTCTTTAAATCATTTGATACCTGAGCAATATAACATCAGTAGTATGGAAGTAGTCGTGGGGGTTCATTTAGGTATGGGTGCTCATGTGCGATCATCCTAGGATAGCCCAAAAGACATGCAGTGACCTATTGAGGTCCTAACCTTTCTAGGTACAGCAGTACAAGGTATACATACTAGTTGATTGCAACATGGTGATTGCAACTAATTTAGTGGTTTCCTGAATGAGGCTGTTAGTAATAGTATAATGATAATAATGATATTAGCGGATGATAGTGGATAAAAATAATAGTAATGGTGTTAAAAATCAGGCATTACCTAGTTGTTATAAGAAAAGCCTGAATAGGTTAATTTACACAGGCATATTAATTGACACTGAGAGTATTTCCTGAACATTCTGGAACGTTCTGCGACACCGGTTGGCAAAATAAGAGATTTATTCCCTCTTTTTCATTAGTTGGACGATGTTCACATTGGTTGCTTTCTGTATGTAAATGATCCACTATTGTACTGTAACTTCTTACGTCACATAACTTGTTCCCAGCGGTTAGAAACTTAGGGCTGGCTATTAACTATGTCCCAGTTATTTTACTGCATATCTGCAAACTGTGGGGTCTACTCCACCCTACCCCATATGGGGTGAGGCGTGGGGGGACAGGTGTATGGGTGGCATTCCTCTTCCCTCCCTCAGAGGCTGGTGCCACCGCGCTACCATACTCTGAAAAAACTTCTCCTATTTCTCTTGTTGATGCCCTTGCAACATTGTATAGCTCCTGATGACGCACTGAGAAGTGTGAAAGTACTTGAGCTAAAGATTTCCCCCTCCCCCGTGGCTTGTCTTGCATGCATATATATATATATTATATATATATATATATATATATATATATATATATTATATTATATATATATATATATATATATAAATCCACAGCAGGATTCGAACCTGAATGCTCGGTATCAAAGTACAGAGTACTTTCGCCACTCAGCCAGAGTGGCGAAAGTACTGTGTTCTATGATACAGAGTGTGCAGGTTCGAATCCTGCTGTGGGCTTAGAGATAATATTTGTTACAAGTTTGCCCGTTTGCGATTTGTTAAGGATATAAATGTGTGTGTGTGTGTGTGTGTGTGTGTGTGTGTGTGTGTGTGTGTGTGTGTGCGTTCACCTAGTTGTACTTACCTAGTTGTGGTTGCAGGGGTCGATTTGCAGCTCCTGGAATCGCCTCTTCACTGGTTGCTACTAGGTCACTCTCCCTACTCCATGAGCTTGATCATACATGTGTGTGTGTACTCACCTAATTGTGGTTGCAGGGGTCGAGACTCAGCTCCTGACCCCGCCTCTTCACTGAATACTACTAGGTCCTCTCTCTCCCTGCTCCATGAGCTTTATCATACCTCGTCTTAAAGCATGTATGGTTCCTGCCTCCACTATATCACTCGCCAGACTGTTCCATTTCATGACCACTCTATGACTGAAGAGATACTTCCTAACATCCCTGTGACCCACCTGAGTCTTCAGCTTCCTAGAGTGACCCCTTGTTTCCGTGTCCCCTCTCTGGAACATCCTGTCTCCTTCCACCTTGTATATTCCACGCAGTATTTTGTATGTCGTTATCATGTCTCCCCTAACCCTCTTGTCCTCCAGTGTCGCCAGGCCGATTTCCCTCAACCTTTCTTCGTAAGACATTCCCCTTAGCTTTGGAACTAACCTTGTTGCAAACTTTTGTACCTTCTCTAATTTCTTAACGTGCTTGCCCCGGTGTGGGTTCCAAACTGGTGCTGCATACTTTAGTATGGGCCTGGTGTACACGGTGTACAGTGTCTT